TTGACCCCCAGTGGATTTAGAAGATTTGCACATAATGTAGGTAATGCAGTGGAGCTTGTTTCTCCCCCCTTCTTCATCCCTTTCTGGACACACATACACACACACATGAGAGGAAGATATTTTTGAAATATGACTGAATGCTGCACAGAGGCTGTTTTAGCACCAGAGCACACAGGAACTCTGCTATGGTGAGTTTAATTTTGGCAGTTGGATTGTCTTGTGGTTGCTCTACCCTGAGGCCAGACCACATTGAGGGCCTCCTCTCCACCCCATTCAACCACACCAAAGTGGGGGAAGGGAAGCAAAGACATCAAGGGGGCCAAGGGGAGCAAACGAAGAGATGGGCTACAGAAGTGAGAGTTTCCTTGTTACCCAAGAGAGGATGACCACAGGAGCCTAACATGAAGATCCTGGTTCCAAACCCCTGCCCCCATGAATTCTGCAGAGATTGGAACCTGAGAACCTAACATGAGTCAGGGGTGGTTTGCTGTCTATGTGGACTCTCAGCTTGTTGGACTGGCTAACAGTATACCATTGGAAATGGACTCTACACTCCTCCTTTGCAATTTTAAAGGCAGAGTGCCTGGCCACATTGCTCATTAGCGAGATAGATCTCGATATCAACAACAATGACCTTTATGTCCTAGCAGATTTCTTCACCCCGACCGACTTTGCAAGGAGTCCATGGATGGCTCAAATGGCTAAGTGCTGGATTACTAATTGTAAGGTTGGTGAGTTCAACTCACCCACACACCCAGAGGTGCCTTGGGAGATAGGCCTGGTGGGGACAGTTCTACTCTGCACACATAAAGTCACCTCTATAAATTGACTTGACAACAACTAACAACATCTATTTCCCACCCTCTCCCATCCTTTCATCCATCCACCAACCCAGTAAATTTTGCATTTTGTAAATGAATCTTATGAAACCCTATTTCGGAAACTGAATTCTGTGAATAAGACAGATGCCTGCATTTTGGTATTCTGCCTCTCTTGCTTCCTAAGGAATAAAATAAGTCATAATATGGTTAAGGCTGTTTTGACTTTGTAGGGAGTCCCTAGGTTGTTCAATAATTACTGTACTCAACTGCTTGCCGAAAGGTTGGGAGTTCAAGTCTACCCAGATACAACTTGAAAAATAGGCCTAATGATTTACTTCCAAAAAATAAGCCACTGAAAACCCTATGGGGTCATCATAACTGGACTTCGTAGGTCCTTTGGTTGGCTTATAGCAAAGTGGCTTAGTTCTGGGCTTGGATGCCAGACAGGCTTTCAGGTTTGGGCTGGAGCGCTGACCAGGCCTGTGGGCCTCAGTCTCTTCATCTGAAAGATGGAACCGAGGCTGTCATAGAGATGGTGTTCAGAGGATTGAACTCTTGGCCTGGCTCATGGGAAGGGAGTTCTGGCAATGGAAGACCATTCCTGCAGTTGCTGTGAGTGAGTCAGGCTGGCCCTCAAAAAGGAAAATCCAATGGGGACGTGATGGAGAAAAGAATGTTCTAGGCTTAGGCTCCTAGACGAGAGTCCCGAGTCAGCCCAAACCTAGCTAAGCCAGGAAGGTTGTGGGACCATCTGGCCACCTGGGACTCTCTGGGCATTCAGCCTTCTTGTTTCCAAATTGGTTAGTGACAGCAGATTGAGTGGAAGCCAGGTGGATGAACCCCCAGGGATTACTGTTTATGGGGAATAGCCCTGAGGTAGACCAGCAGAATGGACAAGTACTGCCAAGAATAAAAGGAGGGACAATGAGGGGAACAGAGACTTTCATGCAAAAGAGTCATTTTTTTTTTTTTTTTTTAAGGGGGGCAGGAGGCTGATTCCTTAGATCACATGTGGTGACCTTGGATTTTGCAAGTGAGGAGATAACAATCTTCTAGCAAAACATTTCCGGGTGGGTTGGGGTGGGTAGACTCACTAAAAAGCCTCATTCAGTATTCAGAGCAAAGTGAGATGAAGGGGACCAAGGGCTTTTCCATTCTGAAAGAGGTGTGGGTGGGGAGCAGCCGCCAGTTGTGAGATTTCCGTGGGTGGGGGCCCGCAGTCCCCGAAGCCCTACTCACAGACTTTCTCATTCTGTCTGTCTCCGTGTGACAAACAAGTTGATGTCTCCCTGGGGAACATAGGGGCTCTAACTGGAAGGGGAGGGGGCATGGGATTTGGATACAGCACCTACCTTTAGTTCAGCCCTAACCTGAGGAAGGGATCAGAAAGTATCATCTGGCTAGGAAAGGGGCCATTGAGTGATCTAGCCTCCTTGCACTTGCCCTGGTCCTTTCTAAACTAAAGCCCAATTCCAGTGGTCAGGCACTTCTCCGGACGCCCCAAAGCCCAAAACTTACTGCCTCTCAGTTGAATCCAACTCATAGTGACCCTGTATAGGATTTCTGAGATTGTAAATCTTAAACAGGAGCAGAAAGCCTCATCGTTTTCCTACAGAATGGCTGATGGGTTTGAACTGCTGACTTTATGGTTAACAGTCCAGTGTTTATCCTACAGCACTACCAGGGCTCCTTCCTCAACACCCCAGACCCTTGCAAACTATGATTTACTCTCAAGGTTCTGGAAAATCAATACAGTGAAGGCATTCAGCCTTTTAAAAGAAGCGGTTGACATGACTTAATGTCAACATTATTTTAGATATCAGTTTCAAAAAGCATATCAAAACATCCTTATGATAGATTGTTAGGGAAAAAATGCAAATTTATATTACAAATGGATATCAATGTATAAAGTACTGCCAAGTTGCACACCAAACTATTGACAAAGATTAAGAGTAGAGCAGGACGTCAATTTCTTATTCTGTAGGTGGTGTGGTGCTGTGGGATAAAGCACTGGACCGAAAAGTCAGTTTGAACCACAAGGTCGGTGGTCAAACTCACTAGTCACTCCTCAGAAGCCCTATGCAGGGATGCTTTGAGTAGGAACTGACTTGATGGCATTTAACAACAACAACAACAACAAACTTTGTTCCTAGAAGTTTCAGATATTTAGGTATCTGAAGAACCCTTCGTCTAATCAACAAAATGGCATTGCAGCTGTCCCCAAGTGGCACCGAATAAAGTCCTGCTTAAGGTTCTGGTCTCAGGAAAGCTTAAGTCTTCATTTACACCATGAGACCCTCCTCAGGTTTCAGGAAAATCTCCATAAACCCACCCATTGGAAACTCACTAGAACTGTACCCAGGACCATAGCACATCACCTTAAATACCCCAGTCTGTAAGGAACAGGCAGGTGTTTGGTCTCGTGACTGGTGACTGAGTGCCCCCAGATTTACTCTCAATAAACCTGTCTGCTGTTGAAGCCAAGTTCCCCTCCTCATCTCTTTCTTATTTCTTATAATATCATATGATACACATAATACACACTTTCTCCCCATTTGAAATGCCTCAGAAAACCTAAAACTGATCATGTGCTAAAATATTTTGTCAGATGTGAACCAGAAGAGAGCATATACTCTGAAAAGTTCAAGTTCTTTCCATGGTCTCCCAGCTCTTGTAACTCAGCTACAACTCCTTATTGCTACAACTGATATTTGATCATTTCTTTATCACCAGGGGCTCTCTGAGTGGATCTTTTTCTTAATTTCTTAACGAAGCCTCACCATTCTTTATTTCTTAGTGAATCAAGGTTGAAAGTCATTTTGTACAATGACAGGAAATAAATCTCCTCTACTCACTGCATTCCTTTTAGGACTTGCTGGTGTGAACGAAGTTTCATGAAGAGGGTGGCTTTTTTTTTCTTAAATGTTTTATTGTGAATTATGTGATAGTTTACATGGGAGAACATCAGTTTTACATTCATTCTATCATATATCGTCTCATTGCCATGGTTACAATCCCCTCCATGCAATCCTTCCCCTGTGTCCCCCAGATCTTCAGCACACAGTCGCTCTCCCTCTCTTGATCTAAAGTCTCCAGCTGCTCCATCGCTCCACGTCATCTCTGACTCCATTTCAGGCATCACTGCTTCTCTGAGTAGGGTCCCACTCTCTGCTCTTCTCCCTTGATGGTCCTAGGAACCTCCGCTCCTAGACTGAAAAGTTAATCACTCCCCTCCTTGCTATAAAACATCCACCTTTTACATTTCCGACCTTCACAATCAGTCCTGATAACAATTATTCACTATTGTATCACAAGAGCCTAATCAGATTGAATACTACTCACTGGAGATTCTACCTTCCTCGTGGCTTTTTAAGGATAGAAGTTTATTCTCTCACAGTTCTGGAGGCTAGAAGATGGAATCCAGGGTCTTCACAGGATATGATCCCTCCAGAGGCCCTGGGGGAAGATATTTGTCTCTCTGAGCTTCTGGTAACCCGAGGTTGTCCTTGGCATACAGCTGTAGCATTTATCTGTAGCCTGTATCTTCATAGGATACAGTCTTCCCTCTGTGTCTCTTCATCTGGACCACTGCCCTACTCTAGGAGGCCTGGCATGGATGGTACTGTAGGATAAATACTGGACCACAAGGTCGGCGGTTCAAACCCATAAGCCACTCCTCGGAAACCCTATACAGTGTTTCTATGAGTCGGAGTTGACTTGGCAGTGCTCAACCACCACAACAATCCTACTCTAAGGAGTCCTGATGGCATTGTGGGTTACATGTTGTCAGAAGTTCAAATCTACCAGGAGAAATCTGAGGCTTTCTGCTCCTGTAAATATTTACAGCTTCAGAAACACTATACAGGGTCACTATGAGTCGGAACTCACTCAGTGGCACACTACCTATGTATTCCAGTATGAACTCATATTAATCAACAATGTCTTCAATGACTAATCACAAACAAGGTCAGATTCACAGGTACCAGGAGCCAGGCTTGCAACACATCTGTGTGTGTGTGCGTGCACAATTCAACTCATGATAATCACTAACTCAAAGAACATCAGAGGAGTATTCTTATGACGTTTCTGACTTTCTCCTTATTCATTTTTTGATGTGTTTTCATAAGGTTCCTTTGTGCATTGCTTTATTCCCATATACTTTGATTAAAAAAAAAAAAATCAAGTTACTGTTTTGAATGCAGAGGAAGTCGTTTCATTGTTTAGCTGTTCTCTATTGATAAACTCGTCACAGCCAAGCTTTTCGATCAAAGGATTGATTGCTGCAGAGACAGTCATTGCTATGGTAAATGTTAAAATACCAAAATCCATCTCTTGAGGATTCTGCTGATATTCAGCATCAAAGGCTGCCTGCCCTGCTCTGCAGGTTTCTACAAATAGCCCGAGGTGTCCTTCAAGCTCTTGTGTTCTGCCTGGGGCAGTAGGGTAACTTCCCAGGGCCATGGCAAGGAACTGCTGGTAACTAATTCCTAAGAGGCTAAGTGGGCCATGGCGGCAGAGTGCTGACAACACAGGGAGGTGGGGTCTACGTCTGTTCACAGCGCCCTCTTTCCTCCGTTGGTTCCTGCAGCAACTGAGCATCATCACATCCCCGTCAGTCCTTCCCTGGCCTTCCCAGGCTGCACTTTTCCACTCCTTCCTTCATCCTCACTGCCTCCCACTGCCTGGGGACATCACTGAGGCCATTCTTCCACACCTGTCTGTGGGGACCTGGGGCATCTTGGGCACCTCCCAGAAAATCAGAATCACAGGACAGAATGACTATGGGTGTTCATGAAAGCAAATATTATGTATATCTCTGCAGACTTTTGTGTGGTTTGCAGGAGTTAGGACCTACCTGATGCTTGAATATCATGCATCTGTGTGGTGCAAATGGAGTCCTGTGTGGTACTGCAGTATAATGCACTGAACTGCGAGGTTGGTTTGAACCACAAGGTCAGTGGTTCAAGCTCACCAGTTGCTTCTCGGAAACACTAGAGAGGGTCTCTACGAGTTGGAACCGACTTGACAGCATTAAACAACAAGAATGTGGTGCAAATGGTTAAGTGCTTCACGACTAGCTGAGAGGTTTGCTGGCATATTAAACCCATCAGGAGGCTCCTGGTGGTCTGCTTGTGAAAGGCCACAGCCAGGAAAACCCTAAGGAACAGCTCCACTCTGCACACAGACAGGGTCCCAGAGTCAGCTCAGTGGCAACTAACATCATGCGTACAGCCGTGTAATGTGCGGGGCGGGTGTTGTTGTTGATAGTTGATGTCAAGTCGGTTTTGACTCCTAGCGTTCCTACACACAACAGAATGAAACACTGCTCAATCCTGTGCCATCCTCACAATTGTTGTTATGTTTGAGCCCATCGTTGCAACCAATGTGTTAAGTGATCTTGGTGGGGATCTTTCTCTTTTTCGCTGACCCTCCACTTTACCAAGCATAATGTCCTTCTCTGGGGACTGCTCTCTCCTAACAACAATTTAGACTCATGGGGGGCTGAGAGGACAGCTAGGAAGCCCACCCACAGCTAAGATGTATGAGACGACCCAAGGTATTTCCTAACATACCTTGCTTTTTGCTACTTGCAGATGGCAACTTTAAACAAACAAAATGCAATTTAAGCAAAAAACAAACAAACAAAGCCCTAAACAGTTGTCATTGAGTCAACCCTTACCCATGGTGACATCACGTGTGTCAGAGTAGAACTGTGCTCCATAGAGTTTTCAATAACTGGGCTTGCCAGACTTTTCTTCTGAGGCACCTCTGGGTAAATTTGAACCACCAGCCTTTTGGTTAGTAGCTGAATGGTTAACAATTTGTGCTCCAAGGGCTCCAACCAGTCATTTTAGGGAGGGAAATTTATAGCTGAGGCCAGATTCTGGGAGCTAAATCTTACACGTCCCCCTTTTCTCACTCTTCCCCCTGAGTTGCTGTTACATTGTGGGCTCTGTAGATACATTGTTTTTGCAGTTACCACAGACTGTGAGAAAGATTTTGCATTCATCCTGCATGGTCTGCCTTCCTTCCTAACCTGGCCATTGACTGATTGCTGTGAGAATGCTTTGGTGAGATGCCAGTTCAACTTGGGATTTGCTCTGTGTCCAGTCTGGGCATCTGGCCTGTTCCAGTATTTGCTTGACATTAGTTTCCTGCCTGTGCTACTTTGGGACAGTCGGGAAGTAAAGGGTCTAGGATTCAGAATCTGTTTGACCTGGGTTCAAATTCTAGCTCTGCCTTTTATCTCCTGTGTGAACAAACCTTAACCTCCCTGGTCCTCAGATTCCTTGTCTTGTAAATGGGGCGAGGAGTATAGCCACACCACTGGGTCACGGAGGATGGAATGAGGCAGGTTTGCAGTGTTAGCTCAGTTCCTACACACAGGCAACACTCAGGTGTAGTTGGCTCGGATTAGTGTTGAATAAGGGGAAAAGGAGGTGCATTTCTGACTCACTTCTCTGGGTAAAGTTGTCTCTTCGCTTACACCCTTTCTTTACACACACACAGACATGTGCATACGCTCACATACACATACACACATGCTTGTATGCATGCATATGAGGGGGAGTTCAAAAGTTCATGGAAAAATGGCGTTCAAAGGCTATGAATTTACATGTAGCATATACCTGTATATACACACATACACAGGCACATCACATAATCTCCGTATAAACTTTGAAGTGTGTTTTCTACTATTAGGGAATTTCATGAGTCAACCAATTTCTTAATCATACTTGGTGCTTACAGGCCGGGTGACTTATTCATTCACCCTCCAATCCCTGGCTGAGTAACAGCGCTGCTTGCCGGGTCTTTGCGCACAGCTTGCAGGGCAACAGGGAAGATTAAGTGTCTGTAGTGAAGCCAGCTGTGAAGTAGATGCGTCTGCCGGGCGACAGGCCTGTGCCCTTCGTCAGCCCATCTCTGGTGGGGTGTATGTGACCACCCTGTGGGTTGTGCAAGGGCTCATGTGATCTGGGCTTGCTGCCATCCTGCTTGGGGTTGTGGGCTTTTCCTTTCCCTGGAAAGTTCTCTTCAGGTTTTAGGACTGAGATGAAATGTTGGCCCTGTTTACTTCCCTGAGCTGACTCACCCGTGGTTTTTGTTCCCAGAACCTCCTCTGCCATGTGTTTTGGTTTGGGTTTGGGGGTCGTGTATGTGCGCCTTGTCTCTCCCAGAACTGCAGCCAGGCCTTGCCTAATCTCCTTGGCCACACCCAGACCTTCCAAGAAAACATTCTGGGATTGAAGTTTTTTAGAGGCTGAGAAGAGAAAATAGAGGGTGATGTGTGATTTTGCATTGTTTTGTCCACTTTTAGTCCAATGAGAACAGCACACCCAAACCAGCTTCCCACTTGACCTCTTGAACTTGGTTCATACAGGCCCACTTCTGGCCTCTGTTCACTCAGGTCTCACCTGCTCGGAGAGCCCCTCTTCCCCAGCTTGCATGGCATTGGTCAGGATGGGTTTTTTACTGTTAATTTTTATTAGCCAGTCACTATTGGTTTTGACTCATGGTGGCCCCATCAGTCACGGAGTACAGCTAACTGCTCCATAGGTCTTCAGTGACCAATTTCTTAGAAGTTGGCTATCAGGCCTTTCTTCTGAGGTGCCTCTGGGTGGACTCGAACCGCTAGCCTTATATTAGCAGCTGTTTGTGCCACCAGGTACTCCTACCTTTTTATTGTTGTTGTTAAGTGCTGTTGAGTTGACCCTGTATGGGGTTTCTGAGGAACACCTGGTGAGTTTGAACTGCCGACCTTGTGGTTTAAACGGACCTTGCAGTCCAGTGCATTATCCTACAGCACCATACCAGCAATTCCTTTAGAAGTCCCCATTTTTACTTTCTTTGAAATACTTTATTTAGCACTATTTGAAAGACCTTTTGAATGCAGTATAGTCCCATTATCTAACAGGTCAGCTTGAATGAATCTAAGCAGCTTCAAAAATAAATTGCGAATGCATGCTTTCGTTGCCTTCTCTCATAGTTATGAATAAATTGGAAACTGTATACAGGGTCACTGTGAGTCGGAACTGACATGGTGATAACCCAACTGCCACCATCACCTCATAAATTTATACCCACGTTTAAGACTTGGTTATGTCTTCAACAGCACCCAGCCTCTGGTAAGCATTTGATGACAGTTATACTGAGTCCTTGACACTGTGGCCCTGTTGGATAAGCATTGGATCACAAGGTTGGTTTGAACTGCAAGGTTGGCAGTTCAAACTCACCAGCTGCTTCTTGGAAACCCTATACAGAGTCACTATGAATCGGGGCTGACTCCATGACCCTTAACAGCCACAACATACTATTAACACTCTAAGAGCTAGGAGAGCCTCCTCTTGTAGTTCATAGTCCACACCAAAGAATACTAACGTTTCTACCACGCATGCTAGAGCTACTGGTGGGACGAGGCTGCCTGTGACTGGAGGGGATCAGTCAGGGGCTCTGGATTTCTTGTGGCATTTTTCTCTCCGTTTACAGCCTCCACTGGGCTCTCCCTTTCATATCACGGAAGGTGAATATTGTAACTCAGCATTACACCATAAGGATGCCTCAGCCCCCGATGCTACCTGCCATGCCTGAGTGTCTTGGGTGGCCCTGCCTGTCTTCTAATGTTGCTCCTTGACTTGAGTCTAGCCTCCTATGGGCCTATGGGCCCTTCCTTGTGCTCTCTACATTAGTAGCTGCTGATCCTGTATCCGAGGGCCACCAAAAGCGCTGAGAAGCTCAGATGTTTATTTTTGCCTAAGAAGGCAAGCTGCAGTTTCTTTTGTTTTCTGGTCCAGATGAAAGAGAAGGTAGGTGGAGGAAAGGACAAGCTGTAGAGTGATACTTTCATTGTGCCTAGAAAATGACTTTCCCATGGACACCGATGGGCTGTTTGGTGAGGGTGCTGTATGAAATGCTCTCTCCCAGGAGGGTGGGCATCTGCTTCCCCAGTGGTGTGGTCACTGGAGTCATAACTGTGAGCAAGGAGGGAGAGTGACGCAGGGTTTTCCGAGGTGGGAGTGCCTGGGATTCTGCTAAGATTTTCCAAGTTCACTGTTGCAGTTAAATTGTCTGGCGCTGTCTGCTCCTAACAGATTGAACCACCATATAGACCAATGCTAAAGTGAGCTACATTGTGGGTAATTCTAACACTCCATGATCAATAGGGATGTTTAGCCTTGGAACACAAGACCTAATGCTAAGTTACAATATTTACCTTCAGTGATATGGAAGAGAGGTTGCACTGAAATGAACCTGGTCAAGGTGTTAGAAGGCTACCTGGATGGGGTGGAGACCTGGGGCACAGGTGAGTCTGAGGAGGAGTACACAGAGGTTGCTTCAGATTTTGTTGTAAACTGGTCATGTGACTTCAGGCAAAACTCTTTAACTCTTTTCTTCATTTTCTTCTTTAAAATCTGTTGGCGTTGTATCTGCCATCGAGTCTGCTTGACTCATAGTGACTATGGTGGTCAATGTTAGGTGTCAACTTGGGTAGGTTCTGATTCTCAGTACTTTGCCCAACACTGGACTGGTTGCTCGTCCACTGTCAGGAGGGACCAACCAATCCCTGGAGAAGGACATCATGCTTGGAAATGAAAAAGAGG